ACTTTGGCGGACTGATGATCTGATTCAGTATAAGGCAGCTTTGTGTATTCATGTGTCTCTGGCTGGGAGAGCAGCCCTAACACCTAGGTGTAAGTAGGTGCATGGAGAAATGCCTAGTCTCCTGCGAGGATGGCAATGAGCAGGGCTTCCCTGTGTGGTTTACCAGTTTTTCTCTCTCTAGTCAGAGGAGGAAGTCTGTTTGCTGGCACGTCAGCTCACCTTCACACAGATGCTAATTGATTATAGACAAAGGAATGGCCAGTCACCCCCCCCCCTTTCTTCTGGCAGGGAATAGAGAGTTGGGGGTGTCAAATTCTAGATGGGCTTGAGGAAGTAACTCTTTGGAGACAACAGGAAAAGAAGCCTTGACCTGAGCAGACTGGAGTCAAGTGGGAGGAGACACAGATTCATTAAAACCACCTTGCAAGGGGAAGGTGATCTCTCTGCTCCTTGGGATGCTGAGCTGAACAGACCTCTTATCTGAGGTTGGGAGCAGGCAGCCATTTTTGGACCATGCGGCTGGCCTAGAAAACTGGACTAACCCTCAAGGTAATGGAAGATCTTTAGAGAACTAGGACACCTAAGATAAAGAGCCTGTCCTAATTTTAACATATAGTTAGAGCATGTTTTGTTACTGTCCATGGGGTTTTCTTGGCAAAGATACTGGAGTGGGTTGCCACTTCCTTCTCCAGTGCATGTTTTAGAGAGGGACAGAGGATTTCCATTTTACCAATTTATTTTGTTCTTCCTTGCTTCAGTTTCGCATGGTGCTAAAGATATGCTTGTAAACATTTTATTTTTAATAAATATTTTAAACTTTTGATTCTGGAAGTGGTTCTCTGTACCACACAAACCCCACTGATTTGGACATGCTGTTTCAAAGGGGAGCCCCAGGAGAGGGGAAGGTGAGCTGTTGGCAACTGGCTATTCCCCCAGGGGCACACATGGTGGCCAGCTGCTGGGCTAGTGGGAGATACTGAGGCAAGGCTTCTGAGCTTGGAAGGGGAGCTGAGGGTCCCAATACCTTCAGTAGGAAATCCCTATATTGATCAGATGGTGATTATGGCTACTGGAGAGTAAGAGGAAAGGCCCCTCCAGGGAGTTGGGAACCCCGAGGAGGGCAAGGCAGGAATGGGGTCTACAAGCCAGAGCAGGCAGATTCTGCCACAAGGTGTAACACCTAGGTGTAAACAAGTGGAGGTGATAAATGGTGAACTGGCCTGGGTTACTTCAATCACAGCCAGTTTGGTGTAGTGGTTAAGTGTGCGGACTCTAATCTGGGAGAACCGGGTTTGATTCCCCACTCCTCCACTTTGCACCTGGCTGGATGACCTTGGGCAAGCTGTAGCTCTGATAACAGCTGTTCTTGAAAAGGAGCAGTTTCTGTCAGAGCTCTCTCAGCCTCACCTACCTCACAGGGTGTCTGCTGTGGGGAGGAGAAGGGAAAGGAGTTTGTAAGCCGCTCTGAGACACCTTTGGGTAGTGAAGGGCGGGGTATAAATCCAATCTCTTCTTCTTCTTCTCTTCATTCTGTTCACAAGGTTTCAAAGATCATCTGGCTCACCATTTCTGGGGTTCAGAATAGAATCAAAGATTGGCTAGAACTTTAGTCTGACCCATCAAGAAAATTTGTACACTACGTTTGCAAAGGGAAACTTCCAATTTTTCTTCTAAGCATGGCAGAATATGTATCACATGGGGGCAAAGTGAGCAGTAAGATCCCCCCTTCCTTAAAAGCCCATTAAGAAAGGATGCTTAGAATCCCACCAATGTAGCAAATTTATTTTTCCCCAGGATTTTCAGCTTCATCCACAAATGCAAGTTACATTCTTGCCAGCAAAATACATTAGTTAGCTAAATTTGTCATCAGAAGTAAACCTTCTGAACTCTTCAGAAGTGTTTGCTGTCTAGCAACATGTTTATTTAAGATGTGCCAATCTGATGCTCATTTCAGATTTTTTCCTGGAGATACTGTTCTCATTTCACCCTGTTACATTCTTTTTGCGTCTTTCCAACCAGTGAAGCTGTAGCGTTCTTTATCGTCTGGAGATCAGTAATTTCAGTAGTTGGTTGCATAGTAATTTCCTGCAATTCAAGTTTCTTTTGAGTGTGAGCACGTAGGCTCGGAGTTGTTGCTGTTTTTGTGAAAGGACAGAACTCAGATGGCAGATTCAAAAATACTGAGGTAACCTCTCAGCAACCTATTTCTGGTGTCTACTTGTCGAAATTGATGTGAATCACTATAGATGGGCCTCTCCTAAATAACTGCCTGTAGCACTTTGCAAAGATTTGAGGGGATGCTTTGTAAACAAATCCATTTAAAGACACTTCAAGGACACCAAGCTGCAATGACCTGTCTTGCTCTCCCCCACCCAGTTCTTTTACCGATCGTTGTGTTCTGTTAAAAGAAAGCTATGGTAGAACTAACCTTTACCATAATGGAAAAGGTTAGAAAAATGATGAGCCACAGTCTTATATATTTGACAAAAGTACAATAAAGTAGACAGTGCATTGCTATTGTAAGTGAAGACATAAATAACCCTAGTAGCTGATTTATAACGGATGCTTCTCTTGGAGCATCTGCTTGCTCATTTTAGCGAACCGAAAATCATTACTTGTTACAATCAAAGAAAAGGCCTGATAACTCCCATATGCACAGATTTGAAGTCAGCTGATGATCCCTAAGGCTCAGCCTCCTAGCAGCAAGGAATGAAGTACCACTGAGCATATGCAGAGTACTTGTCCCCTCACTGCTCAGTCATCACATCCAGCTCATTCTTTCTGCCCAGGGTTTCGGAGTGGAGGAGGTGGCCCCTCTCCTTTCAGATTTTAAGGTGCCCTGTTCTTTGCTCTGGCAAACAGTTGGAGTCATCTTGCTATTCATCTCAGTAGTGAACAGCAGTTTTCGCTTAGAGTACATGAAGTGACCAATTCCAACCTCCAGCCAAGCACCCAAGTCCAAAAATCCCTCTGCTCTTCCATTTGGTTAAAGTTTGGTTGATCTGTCTGTGGAAAGGTAGCAAGAAATGCTGACCCAGAACAGGGTCAGGAGAAAGTGAATGAAACCACTGAGCATCTGAGCGGATTTTATCTCTCTCCCCCCCCCCCCATGCATTTAATCCTAAAAGGGGGAGGCAATAGCGAAATTAATGGAGTTTTCAAAGAAGGAAATCGAAACAGCAGCACGGCCGTTTAAGACCCGGAGGTTTGCATAGGAAACTGCCCGTGGGTAGAACCGTAATCACTATCTCCCTACCGTCCGGGTGTCTGAGGCGAGCTTAGGGAAGGGAAACGCGGCCGCGGATTGTTCACAAGTCCTCCCCGCAGGAATGTCAGATGTAGCTCGAAGCGGCGTACCTGCAGGTGGCGACAAATGCCCTTGAAGCTTAGCGCTGTCCAAGGTCCTGAATTTCGGGGGCTTGGCGGCGAGCGAAGGGAAGCAGCCTTGTCGCCGCTGGCGAGCGAGGCGGGGAGAGTAGCGGCGCCCACTTCTTGCTCAGCGCCCTGCTCGCTAGAGACCTCCAGGCAGCCGAAGAAGGGGCGATCCTCTCCGTCACTCGCCAGCCGCTCGACTCGTTTCCCGCTCGCTTAGCGCGGCGACTTCATCCGGGCTAGGAGCGCGCAGGGAAGAGAACCCCAACTCAGTTCTGGTTGCCTCCTTTCTTCTTCCTCCCCAATCCCTCTCCCCTGGTCTCCGGCTCACTCTCCTTCCCGGCTGTGGCGCTCCTGGCTGAGTTAGTGGTACCAACAGGGCAGGTGGGAGACGCGACCAGAGGCAGGCGGCGGCGGGAGGAGGGGGGGACAGTTAGTGCCAGCTCACTAAAACTTAACTTTCCCTCTTCCTAGCGATTCCCCTGATTGCCCGGACGCCGGTTGAAGAATGGGGGCGGAGGCGTGCAGACAGCAACCTCCCCCCTACCTGGCTGCTCTAGTTTCTCACTAAAGAATGGAGGGGTGGGGGAGAGGTTGGTAAGGGCTGCCCCTCCCCACACGGCTGCTATTGAGTTGTGAACGGGCCAGAGAGATGCCATCCACGAAAGAGACCACCGCCAGACTATAACTCAAAGCGACGAGAAACCCCGCGCAGGTTGGGGGGGGGGCGGGCGAGGGGAAAAGGAGGGGCTGAGGGAGAGGGAATAAACTAGGGAGGAGGGGAAAGGTGGAGGCACAAAACGCTGCGGGCAAGAGGGAGCCACGGGACTCAGCGGCAGAGCAGTGAGACTACGAATAAGGGGGGGGGGAGGGAAGGAGGGGAACCCAAAGGCTGAAAGAGGAGCCAAGTGAGTGACAGGAGAGAGGGAAGTAGAGCAGGGGAAAGGGAGGGCAGAGAGCGAGCGAGCGCGAGCCAGTGAGTGCTACAAAAGGGGGGAGCAGCCACAGAAAGAGACGGCAGCAGCAGCAAGTGCTAGAAAAGGGGAGCAGAAGCGCGCGGGGAGGGGGCGGCCAAGGAAGGACCGAGAGGCGAAGGGAAGCCAGAAGGGACCGGGAGGCTGCGAGCGAGGAGCGAGGGGAGCCAAGAGGGCGCAGCAGGCAGGGAGCCACCGAAGGGAGCCCGAGAGGACGGGAGGCTGCGAGCAGCCCCGATCCCGCAAGTGAGTGGCGGGGGGAGGCTCCGAGCGAGCGACGGCGCGGGCAAGAGACGGCAGGCAAGTGGCCACCGCCAGGGCACCGGACTTGGAGCTGCGCCGCGGTGGAGGGCGAGGGAGGGCGGCCAAGTGAGAGGAGGCGCTGGGCGCTGCTCCCCGGGATGCCCAGCCCGGGAGGGGATGCAGCCGGCGCGCCGGGACGGGGGCTGGCGTTGGCCAGCGGCACCGGGCACCAGTCCCTCGGCCCCCTCGCCTTAGCGCGCTGACTCCAGCCGCCGCCGCCCGCCTCGACCGTCGGGGGGCCATGGTGACCCGGAGGAAGCGCTGCCCGCCACTGCCGCCGCCGCCGCCGCCCGAGTGAAGAAGGCGCCGCCGCCTTCTCGCCGGCTTCTCGCCACCGGGAGCCAGCCAGGCATGGAGCTCGCCAACGGCACGACGGAGGCGGCCGGCAACGCCAGCCAGCCGGCGCCGGCCAGCCTGGGCTACCAGCTGGGCACGTCGGTGGTGCTGGGGGCGCTGATCCTCTTCGCCGTGCTGGGCAACGCGTGCGTGATCGCGGCCATCGCCCTGGAGCGCTCCCTGCAGACGGTGGCCAACTACCTGATCGGCTCGCTGGCCGTCACCGACCTGATGGTGTCGGTGCTGGTGCTGCCCATGGCCGCCCTCTACCAGGTGCTGGGCAAGTGGACGCTGGGCCAGGTGACCTGCGACATCTTCATCTCCCTCGACGTGCTCTGCTGCACCTCGTCCATCCTGCACCTCTGCGCCATCGCCCTCGACCGCTACTGGGCCATCACCGACCCCATCGACTACGTCAACAAGCGGACGCCCCGCCGGGCCGCCGCCCTCATCAGCCTCACCTGGCTGGTCGGCTTCCTCGTCTCCATCCCGCCTATGCTGGGCTGGCGGACCCCCGAGGACCGCTCCGACCCCAACGCCTGCACCATCAGCAAGGACCCCGGCTACACCATCTACTCCACCTTCGGCGCCTTCTACATCCCGCTCCTCCTCATGTTGGTCCTCTACGGGCGCATCTTCAAGGCGGCCCGCTTCCGCATCCGCAAGACCGTCCGCAAGGCCGACAAGAAGCAGCCCCCGCCGCCCCCGCCCCCGAGCGAGGCCGACACCTGCCTCTCCGCCTCGCCGCCCAGCGAGCCCCAGGCGCGGAGGAGCAACGGCGCCCTCCGCCAGCACCACCACCATCACCACCACCACCCCCACCAGCACCAGCAGCCGCAGGCCAAGAGCTGGAAGGGCGCCGCCGTGGAGCCCCAGGCCGGGGGCAGCGCCTGCGTCAACGGGGCCGCCGTCCGCCCGGCCGAAGACGGCGGCCCGGTGGCGCCGCCCGCCTTGGAGATCCTCGAGGTGAGCCCGTCCAACTCCAGCAAGGGCCACCTGCCCCTGCCCAACCACCACGCCGCCCCCGCCGCCGCCACGCCGGCCGCCGAGCGGAAGAACGAGCCCAAGACGGCCGAGGCCAAGCGGAAGATGGCCCTGGCGCGGGAGAGGAAGACGGTCAAGACGCTGGGCATCATCATGGGCACCTTCATCCTCTGCTGGCTGCCCTTCTTCATCGTGGCGCTGGTCCTGCCCCTCTGCCCCGGCTGCTACATGCCCGAGGAGCTGGGCGCCCTCATCAACTGGCTGGGCTACTCCAACTCCCTCCTCAACCCGGTCATCTACGCCTACTTCAACAAAGATTTCCAAAGTGCTTTCAAGAAGATCGTCAAGTGCAAGTTTTGCAGGCAGTGACGGGGCCAGGAGAGCCTCGGGAGGGCAGGGGAGGGGAGGGGGGAGGAGGGGAGTTGAACTTTGCCCCCGTCTTGTGCTCCCACCGATGCTTGGCGGACCGCCAGCCCCCTTTCCGAGCCGCCCTGAGACTTGGAAGGCCGCGAGGCGGGGATACCTCCCCCCCCCCCCCTTGAGCGGGCAGCACCGATGCGCCGGGCGGACGGACGGACGTGGCTCTTCGCCCTGCGCTGGTCCCCCCAGACACAGATCCGGCCAGTCCTTCTCTTGGCCTGGCCGGCAGTGGGGGACGGTCCTTGTCCAGCCGGCCACGCACTGTCCCTTTCTTCCCGAACTGCGAGCAGCCGGCCCAGGAAGGTAGGACGCCTCTCGGAAGCCTGAGACTGCCCCGCTGGGGGATTGGTGCTGCTGGCCGCCTCGCCTCCTTCTCAGAGTTTGCTCCCTACTCCGGCTGGGCGCAAAACCCCGACCCGCCCTGTTTCCTCGGGAGACTTAGGATGGGGACTGGGGGGAGAAGGGTGGCAGCAGACCTGAAAACGGGGGGCGTTTGAACCACAATAAACCACCCTGTGCATCGAGATGCCCTCTTGTCTATTCCCCTCCCCCTCGGAGATTAATTTAAGGAAAGAAGACGTAAAGTTTGCTTTTTAAAAAAAGGCTGAGTAAGCCTGAACTCTGAAAGGGAGCGAAGCAACCAAGTGGAGGAAAGGGACGGAAAGGAAGAGTGTGGGGGGTGGAGGCGGGGGGAGGTCACTTATGCAAAGGGAATTCCAACT